TTCAAAAGTAAAAATCCCCCCCCCCCCCCCCAAACAATACAGACTGAATTCCAACTGAATGCTATTTCCTGGATATATGGACTCAGTGCTTGGTCAGTTCCACCCATATCTGCTTACTATACAGCTTGGGTCAAGTCCCTCCTTTCTTGGGGGTTATTTTAACACAAATGACACAGCAGACATAAGGACCTGGACAGATGCCCTTTTTGAAAGATGGGAGTATGCAAGCAAATTCTCACTTAGGTGCAGAGGCAGATGTCAGCCCCTTAAATGCCTTTGTCAAGCCAAATAAGAGAGAACCGCAATGCAGAGCTGATGTCAATATATTGTCAGGTCCTCATTATTGAAAACATTTTGATGTTCATGTGGGTTACTAATGAGGGTTAGACAATCGAGTTATATTGCTTCCAATTTCTTTTTCTTTTTTTTTTTTTACAATCTCTTAATTTAATTTTATGCAATTTACATAAGCTGATTAATAGCACTCTGTAAAAGCACATTATTATGTCCTGTATCTGGTTTATAAGCAACATATTAGGATCATATCAGTATTTCATATTGACTTGAAAGAGGAAAATTAAAAGAAATACCTAAATTTGATGTTTCCAAGTTATATTGTGCTTTCTTGTATGTTATAACATAAACATATGAGAAACTTTGATCAAAATCTAACTCGTTTGGTATTATTTTTATTAGCAATGGCAGCCATAAAGCATATCTTTCATGAGCAAGTAATAGAAGAGAATCAGTGGGAATAAAAAAACTAAAAGCAAATTACTTCTACTTACTGAAGGCTTAGAATGACCCAATATTTGTTCTGATTTTGTGATAGTGCTTGTAAGGAAACTTCTATTAAACTGTCATTTTATCTGCATTAATGTATACAACATCACTTATAAATTTGGGTTCAGAAATTGCTACTAATTAGCTCTGGCTGATATTGAAGTATTTTGTATGCCCCATTTATAAAAGCTGTTTGCCCATCTGTTAATAGGTTGGAAGTGATTAAGGGACACTTATTTTGGCTGTTGTAAAGGCCAAACAGTTTTCAAGCTGCAAATATATGACAAAACTAGCTAAAGGGTTGCCAAGTTCAGGACCCATTTTGCAAAGGAACTTTGATGCCTGCTTCTTCCATCCCAAGCCCAATATCATAAACCAATCTAAATAATATATATAAATTATAAATAATATATAAGGGCAAATACCCCTGTCTTCTGCATAGGATAAGCTTGCCTACATTAATCAAATGTGTTTCCCACACAGGAGAAATATATTTTGATTTTACTGAACTGGTATCAACCTGAGAAAAAAATATTTCTACTTCCTGTATATTGATCTTGAAGCAGAAGGGCTGTGGTTCCCTAATGTCTCAAGGGCATTGACTCAAATGTCAGTCAGTAAGTGGTACAAGTTTTGAGGTCTCAGTTCAGCCCCCCCAAATAAAATTTGTTCATGTAAAAAATGCATCAAATAATTTGGGTAACTGCTGAATGAAATGGCATACTGTGACAACACTGATACAACACTTTGCAGCCAGTACTTCGAAGTCCTGGGGTTTGGGTTGAGGCTGCAGGAGTTGAGATAATTCTGGCCTTGTCCATGCATGTAACTAAGTATCTGCATAGCACATATGAGAAGAGCATTGCCAAGGCTCATTAAAGATAAAGATGTGTGTACTTTAATTAATATCTATATCGTTGGCACCTATGGGCTTCCTCCAAATACCTAGCATTCTGGGCACCATATAAATAATTGGGATCATACTTGAATATGAAAGAAGTAAAATGAAGTAAGATATCCCTTTCTCTCCTGCTTAGATTTGTGTATTCAATACAACCAGAGTGGAGATAGCAATGGCTACTTGCCCAACACTCCCTGCTGTGAGCAAGTGGGCAACAGTAGAGAGGGGCAGGAATGGGTGGGAAGAATCCTGGTTTTCTTCCCATTTGGCCAGGCTGCTTCATAAAAATGGGTCAAGATAAACTCATTCCTGCCACAAAGCAAATGACGAAATAAGATAAGGATTGTGATTCTCAATCTAATTTCATCCTCTGGTTTACACTTGGGCTTAAATCCAAAAAGTTTCAGTTTCCTAACTCCCAGGGAAATCAATGGGAGTTAAGTACCTAATTCCCTTTTTGGATTTGGCCCTTGGTGTGGGACAACTGAACTAGGCAGACCATAAATTTACTGTGTAGTCCATAATAAATCACATTTCTCGCTCTAAAGAGCTTGCACTTTGGACTTCTACAGAATCTTTCACCAGATTATCTCCAAATAACTTGCATATGCTATAGCATCCTTGTGATCTCTTGGGCACAAGGCATTATTATCGCTTTTCTGCTGGAAATGTAAACACAGAAGAAAACACAGAAAGCCTGTGGTAAGCCCAGGAGTGAAAAAAAACAGAATTCTTACCAGTTTTAAGCTCTTGAATTCCTCTTTCCTACTGACATTTCTATAGAAATAATTTTCTCACTGGAACATCAAGGAAAGCAGAGTGGTATACAAGCTTTAAGTCATATGGACAAGAGCAGTAGACCCAAAAAAAAAAAGTTTTGGAGAATCTGAGCCAAGGAAAGCTTCAGGGGAAAGAGATTAAGTGAAAAGGAGAAGGAGTCAACATTAAACCTCTGTCAATAAGAAGCCTTAATAAAGGACTGATAGATACCATTCTGTCAGATAATCTTGAACCTCAGTAGTTTCATCTGCAGAAATAATATTTCTGTCCTCAGTGGGCATGTCTACAAGAGACGCTAGAAGCACAGAAGACTTATTCTACTGCACATTAGTGTGTCATGGTACAAGCCATGCTAATGCACTAATGCACAACAGAATTAGTCTACTGCAAATTAGTGTCACCTAAAAGACATGCACTGGTGCTACTATGCAGTAGCACTCATTACAGCGTATTAAGTTAGTTCCTGTTATTATGGTGCATTAATGCATGTATAGACACAGCCAATGATATCTAAACAAACCAGGATGTGATTTCTCCTCATTCAGAGCTCTAAAACAAAGCCTGGATGTCACTTGCATCTCACTTTTTGGAGGATTCAAGTTAGATCTAAGCACTATATAGGGAAATCCCACAATGAGGCTATATCCTACCAGTTCCCTATAGATTC